AGCATACAGAAAATAGCTCTATTCACAACAACAGTAAAAACACATAAAAATACATCATTCCTGTTATACTTAACAGAACCCCCACAGCTTGGATCTGAGCGCTCACTATATCCGAACAGCGCTCAGATTCCACAAACACAGTCAAATCGCCATGGGGTTAAACCATAGCAACAAGTTCCAACTGGTCTGGCAGTGTCCCTGGGACAATGCCCTGCTGGAGAACAATAGACAGGAAACAGGGGAGGGGCACACCTTCTCATGTATTCAAAGGGGCAGAAAAAGTGTTTCAAAATCTAATAAGCCCAAATAATGTCTTTAGACGGCAATACATCCCAGGGGCCATAGTAACATGGCAGGAGGCTGGCAATCAGTCTTCTCCAATGCCCAGTGGCGAGGTCGGTTTCGCCACAAGATTGAATGTCACCATCAAACTAGGCATGATTGCAAATCTGACTTGATATGTGCACAAATAGAGCCTGTGCCTCTGAAATAGTGCTTTGGTCTCTGCCACATTTGGATCTGATATTTTTTGTTAAAGGGCTGGCATTTCTCTGGAATAAAATGTTGAAAATCACCTATAGTTTTTTTCATGTGATGCCACTTTTTTTTTTTTTAAATAAGATATAGTGAAGATTTGGAAGGTGTGACATCATCCAGTTCAGTCCTGGCACAGCCCAGGCACACAGTGCAAATGAGGAGGCAAAAAGAAACATTGTTTCCCTCTCTTCTCTTCAACAGTGCTCCATGGCAGAAAAGGACACCGTTAATAAAAATGAATGACAGGGAAACAAAATGGAGGCACCCAATTCCAGAATAGAAAGGAGCACAGACGTGTGGATTTCTATTTTCCATTTTATTTTTGTTAGACCTAAAACCTAAAACAAATATTTGCTACATACAAGGAATAAGTGAACATAATATTGAAAAATCCTGGGACGTGACAGTGTACTCTTTAAGGTACACTGAAGTAGATTAGATCTAAAACACGGAATTCCATTGTGAGCTATTTGGCATTCTATTAAACCTTGCTTACACCGTTACAGACGAGTTAATAGATTTATAGTGCAGATTTCATTCGAACACTGTCAAACACACCACTGCTTTCTTGGAAAACTCCCAAGGGGAAAGCTAGTCACCAAAATTAAAATGCTCTACACTTAAGTGATATTACTTATTCGCTCATACTGTGATAGACATTTGGCAAGTTTATTATCAGCACTTGACCAGGATGCATATACTTTTTGAAAACATTAGACAATTTTGAGCAGTTCAATATGACTGCATATGAAGTTTCATTTTTAAAGTTTTAGTAAAATTTGCATTTGTCTTTTCTGACTCTATACGTTGCTGCCACCATCAGTGTCTCTGTGGTACTGCGTGCAACCATTGTCTTCAATAGCTTGGTCCAGCTTTACAGTCTATTTATTCAAGGTAATTAAGGAAATCATAGAATAGCTAATGTAATGCAGAAGTAGATATCTTAGAATACATTTTTAAATCTAAACTACTGATTCTAGGAAAAGAATGTGCCCATCCTTGCAATGTGTGTCCTATCTGTTTATAGCTCGATTCTTCTCAAACATTTGATTACAGAGAACTGCCATTAAAAACATTTTGATATGTTTCATGTGTCAATACAGGTTATTTTGAATCGTTTTAAAATTAATTTTCGGTTTTGTTTTACAAATTCAGACAATTTAATTTTGATCAGTTGCATTTCAAATTGCTGCAATTCTTCAGGGCTGGTATTCCGGACATACTGACATTTTCTTACTGTAAATTGGTAAGCTTGCCTACGGAGACATAGCTTTCATATCTAATGGCAAGCAGGCTTCTGTGGGAGAGAGAATATTTTGTGGTTTCCTGGTCATTAAGGCTATTGGTGCAATAAGGTGTCCCCGATAGAAAGCTCCCCTCATTTGGATTTGAAGCACAACGTGACGAAGTAGGTGACAATGTGTTTGTGGTCAAGACGATTGACTTCCTTTATAATCTTTCTCCAGGTTTGTCCTTTTGGTTGGACAGTGGCGGCTGGTGAAGTTTTAAGGTGGCAGGGCACCTGACTCCTTCCCCAGAATTGTACTTCTCGCTATACAGTACAGAGATACCCATACAACAGAGGGCAGAGCTTAATACAGAGATATTCATACAATATAGAGAGCTGTGCATTATACAGAGATACGCACAATACAGAGAGCTGAGCACAACACAGTGATACTCACAATACAGAGAACTGAGCATAATATACAGATACTCGTACAATACAGAGAGCAGAGTATAATACAGAGATACACATATAATACAAAGAGCTGAGCACAATACAGAGATACTCACAATACAGAGAGCTGAGTATAATACATAAATACTCATACAATATAGAGAGCTGAGTATAATACATAGATACTCATACAATATAGAGAGCTGAGTATAATACATAGATACTCATAAAATATAGAGACCTATAAGTATAATACAGAGAGCTGTACAATAAAACAAGCTGGGCACAACATCTTGATATCTATAAAATGCATAAAACTAAGTACAAGACAGAGATAACCATACCACAAACAGAACTGAGAAAAAAAAATAGAAATACAAAACACAGAGCTGGGCACAATACAAATATATCTATACAATACACAGAGCTGGACACAATCCAGAGATACCTATACAATACACAGAGCTGGCACAATACAGAGATACCTATACAATACAGAGATACATATACAATACACAGAGCTGGCACAATACAGAGATACCTATACAATACAGAGATACCTATACAATACACAGAGCTGGCACAATACAGAGATACCTATACAATACACAGAGCTGGCACAATACAGAGATACCTATACAATACAGAGATACCTATACAATACACAGAGCTGGCACAATACAGAGCACAATACAGAGATACCTATACAATACACAGAGCTGGCACAATACAGAGATACCTATACAATACAGAGATACCTATACAATACACAGAGCTGGCACAATACAGAGATACCTATACAATACACAGAGCTGGCACAATACAGAGATACCTATACAATACAGAGATACCTATACAATACACAGAGCTGGCACAGTACAGAGATACCTAGACAAAACACAGAGCTGGGTACAATAAAAAGATACATATACACAGGGGCGGACTGGGAGCCTTTGGGGCCCCCGGGCAAAATTAGATCCCAGGCCCTTTGGAGGCCAAATATACATGCATTAAATAAATGTGAAATATAACTCTCATAATACGGCATTCCTTTGGATGTGTATATTGTGAAGACCTGTGTATCAATGCATGTTTGTATTTGAGTCTTTGTGAATGCACTTGTGCATGTCTGGATGACTACATGTGCTTTTTTTTTTATATAGTGGCAGTGTGAATGCATATGTGACAGATGACAGAGTGTGTGAGGGAGAGGGTGACAGGTGGAAGAGTGTGGGAGGTTGTGACAGGTGGCACAGTGGTGGCCTGGTGGCAGAGTGAACCTGGTGGCAGAGTGAGGGAGGGGTTGAGTGGTGGCAGAGTGAGGGGGAGACACAGTGAGGGGGGGTGACTGGTGACAGAGTGAGGAAGTGAGTGACTAGTGACAGAGGGAGGGAGAGGGGGTGACTAGTGACAGAGTGAGGGAGGGAAGAGATGACTAGTGGCAAAGTGAGGGAGGGAAGGGGTGACTAGTGACAGAGTGAGGGGATGACTAGTGACAGAGTGAGGGGATGACTGATGACAGAGGGAGAGGGTGACTAGTGACAGAGGGAGGGGGTGACTAGTGACAGAGTGAGGGAGGGAGTGACTGTCACTAGTTACTAGCCACTCCCTCCCTAACTCTGTCACTGTGTCACCTGCTCCCTCACTCTGTCACTAGTCACCCCCTCCCTCACTAGTCCCCCTTCCTCACTCTCACTAGTCACCCCCTCACTCTGTCACTAGTCACCCCCTCACTCTGTCACTGTGTCACCCACTCCCTCCCCCTGTCACTAGTCACCCCATCTGTCCCTAGTCACCCCTCCCTGTGTCACTAGTCACCCCCTTCCTCACTCTGTCACTAGTCACTCCCTCCCTAACTCTGTCACTGTGAGGGAAGGAAGTGGTGATTGGAGACAGAGTAAGGGAAGGGATGACTAGTGGCAGAGTGAGGGAAAGAAGGGATGACTGGTGACAGAGTGAAGGTATGACTGGTGACAGAGTGAGGGAGGTGGTAACCTCACTACTCCCTCCCTCCTTCCGTCACTAATCACCCCCTCCGTCCCTCACTCTGACACTAGTCACCCCCTAACTCACTCTGTCACCAGTCATCCCCTCTCTCACTCTGTCACCAGTCATCTGCTCACTCTGTCACCAGTCACCCCTTCCTTCTCTCACTCTGCCACTAGTCACCCCTTCCCTCACTCTGTCACCAGTCATCCCCTCACTCTGTCACTAGTCACTAGTGAGGGTGACTAGTGACAGAGGGGGTGACACAGTGACAGAGTTAGGGAGGGAGTGACTAATGACAGAGGGAGGGATGGGGTGACTAGTGAGAGAGTGAGGGAGGGAGGGAGTGACACAGTGACAGAGTAAGGGAGGGGGTGACACAGTGACAGAGGGAGGACGTGACTTGTGACAGAGGGAGGGGGTGACTAGTGACAGAGGGAGACTAGTGACAGAGGGAGGGAGGGTTGACTAGAGACAGAGGCTGGGAGTGACAGAGGGAGGAAGGGGGTGACAGTGACAGAGTTAGGGAGGGAGTGACTAGTGACAGAGGGAGGAGTGACTAGTGACACAGTGAGGGAGGGGGTGACTAGTGACACAGTGAGGGGGTTGACTAGTGACACAGTGGGGGGGGGTGACTAGTGACACAGTGAGGTGGGGGGTGACTAGTGCCTACCTGTCTCTCTGCTCCCTCTGGTCTCTCCCTGGCTACTGCTCCTTCCCCTGCTGATCGGGCTCTGTGTGAGAGGAGTAAGGCCCTGCCTCTCCCATCACACAGAGCCGTGTGGGACAGGAAGGAGACCTGGCAGAGAGAGCTGGTAAAGGTCTCATTTGATGATGGGGGTGACTTGCAGAGCGGTAGGTTGTGGGGGCCCCGCACTCCATGAGGGGCCCCACAACCAATCAATTAAATAGTTTTATTTTATTATTTTGCCGTTCCAGTTGGAGAGATCTCTGGTCTCTCCAGCTGGAGCAAGGCTGTGCGGCCGGGCCCCTGACTGTCTCTGGCCCTCAGTCCATGACCGATATGCCCGAGTGGTCAGTCTGCCCCTGCATATACAATGCACAGAGCTGGCACAATACAGTGATACCTATACAACACACAGAGCTGGCACAATACAGAGATACGTATACAATACACAGAGCTGGCACAATACAGAGATACGTATACAATACACAGAGCTGGCACAATACAGAGATACCCATACAACACACAGAGCTGGCACAATACAGATATACCTATACAATACACAGAGCTGGGCACAATACAAAGATACCTATACAATACACAGAGCTTTGCACAATACAAAGATACCTATACAATACACAGAGCTTTGCACAATACAAAGATACCTATACAATACACAGAGCTTTGCACAATACAGAGATACCTATACAATACACAGAGCTGGCGCAATACAAAGATACCTATACAATACACAGAACTGGGCACAATATAGAGATACCTATACAACACAGAGAGCTGGGTACAATACAAAGATACCTATACAATACACAAAGGTGGCACAATACAAAGATACGTATACAATACACAGAGCTTTGCACAATACAGAGATACCTATACAATACACAGAGCTGGGCAAAATACAAAGATACCTATACAATACACAGAGGTGGCACAATACAAAGATACGTATACAATACACAGAGCTTTGCACAATACAGAGATACCTATACAATACACAGAGCTGGGCAAAATACAAAGATATTTATACAATACACAGAGCTGGAACACAATACAGAGATATTTATACAATACAAAAGCTGGGTAGACTACAGGGATATGCATACAACAGGTAGAGCTGAGCAAAATACAGAGAAATAACACACAAAGCTGTGCACAATAAGTGATCCTGGCTGTGTGGGATCATTATAATTATCTCCTGTGATGGATTACACAGAGCTGCAATGCAAAGATCCCCACACAGAGAATGTCTCTGTAAAATGCCCCAGTTCTCTCTGTCTGATATCTTTCTAGCCCACTCTCTGTCCCTCCTACAGCAACATGCTTGCTAGACCCTTGCAGATGATAATAAAATCCTCTCGCCGGGTCCCGTGCAGCCATGCTACAAAAAGTGACAAGTGGAACTGGACTGCTATGTGCACCCCACTTACCATCTGTCAGCCGGGACGGACACCCGTCATCCTTCGCTTGGTAGGCTACTGATCCTTGAATGATTTTTGGAGATGCTGGACTCTTACTTATCCTGTTAGTATCACTCAACTCACACTAACTCTCTATTACCTGCACCATTGTGAGGTGAATAAACTGTGCTTCTGATCAAATAAGTTTAAATATATCAATCCTCATAAAATAAGTGAAAGCAGGAGATGCACTGAGAGTTATTTACTTATATGCATTATTTACAAAATAACACACTCACAAATGATGAAACATACACTGTCTTATAAATTATAATTTGAAATGATGACCCTTTTCCTTTAAATGTAAGTTCCTTGCCTTGGCGTAATGCGCTACAGAGGTTTTATGGTGGGACCTGCAGCCCCATTAATCTGACCAATTAGAACAGACTAGAAAGTACATCACACCAGCCTCTTCTCTTCTTACTTAACATTTACATGTGACACCAGATGGATCTGTTAAGGCATAGGGGTCAGTGTTATCAACTGCGAGCAAATATCACCCAGCTGTACACGAGGATTTAACTTAAAGTTTAATGCATGAACGACATTAAGAAAATGCCATGAAATAAAGGGTTCTTTTATAGATCCTAATTATTCAAATCCTTAACTTAGAAGTAGAATGAAACAATTTATTATTAGAGATTTTGACTCTGACTGGGTAATCAGAATGTTTCAGTACCT